GACTTTTGGATCGAAATCTGATGAAGAGCATGGAGATGATCTTATTCAAAGTTACAAGAAGGTTCAAGAAGCACTCATCAGGCTTGGACAAGAAAACTTGTTGTCGATCATGGAGAAACAGTGTTTTGAAGCATTGGTTGAATCACTGCAGACTGAACTACATACTGAAAATAAGCTCAGTAAGGAGAGTGTGTCTCTGAAAAAAGGATAAACTAAATCTAGTCACCAAAACAGCTAAGTTGGAGAAGGAACTACATGCTGAGAAGGAGGTGTCTGCTCAACTTCAGTCACAACTCGATTTACAACACAAAAGATATACATGTTCGATGGTACCAAGCAATTGGATGAGATTTTGACCTACGGAAGAACTGAGAGAACACACAGAGGTCTAGGGTATACCGAAAGAGATGGACCAAAGACTAGAGGAGTTAATTTTGTATCTGCAGGTTTCTCTCAACCAATAGATTAAAGAACTAAGAGTAGTACAGTACAGAAGAGTGGGTGTTATTTTTGTGGGAAGCGTGGGCACATTAAGGCTTTCTGTTACAAGTTCTGGGAAAGGGTGAAGAAACTCAGATATCAAGGGAAATTCACATGGAATGGGTTTCAAAATCAGATCTGGGTGAGGAAAACAGATTTGCAGTCAACTGCTACAAGGCGTACTTCAGCTAGTACCTCAAGACTTAGTTTTCAGTGCAACATAACGTGCGTATCAGAAGAACAAGAGAGTACCGGTCAATGGTACTTCGGCAGTGGGATGAAATAAGCAACCAACATAACGTCAAAAAGGTCAAAGGTGAAAATATGACTTTGAGAGTTAGAGGTCATGGAATGCCTCAGCTCAAGGAAGGAGACAAGAAAATGAGTGGACCGGGCCACAAGGGGATGCATGTGAAAGTACCTGATGTTCAATCACAGTCAGACCTCAAGGGCACAAAGAATGACGTTGGTTCAGAGGTGCAATCTAGTTCAGAGGAGAAATCTAGTTCGAAGGAGAAATCTGGTTCAGAGGAGTAGTCTGGTTCAGAACAAGCAGTGGTACAGTAGATGCATCAGAATCATTCATCATCTGATCTCATCAGTGATGTGAGTGAAGGGAGGAATACCATGGGGATCAAGAAGAAGAATTACCACGAGATGGTGCAGTTTGCATGCTAAACACTAGTTGAAGTACTACAGAATAAGCTAGATGTAGAGAAAAAGTTTAAAAACCATGTGTTGTATTAGCTGATTTATTAATGAGTCACGTGGACACCCTTGAAGGACAGTGTGGTACTAAGTTCTAGCATTCAAGCAGGGGGAGAATATGAAGATTGATGAACACAAAGCTTGAAGTTGGTATACGATCAAGGGGGA